AGTACAAACATGAATGTGATTATGAATATTTGTTCACTAGCTCCGTCAGACAGTAAAATACAATTATACAGTTTACACAGTTTACAGCATGTTTGTTGTACTTGAGAAGCCATGAATTGAAAAGTAATAATGACAGAAAATTAGAGCATGTGCGCCTGTGTTGTCTGAATGACAACACAAAATTCATTGCTGGTACAAAGCGACCTTGATGTGCTTCTTCATTGGTAATTACATTTCTGACTGTATATCGGTTTGATGTAATCACTATCAAGTTACCTGCTCCATCCCGTAACCTCTTGAATGTAATGGAAAATAGATACTGTGTAACCTCGTGTCCACTCATCTGTTTAACATCACCTGCAATAGCTTTGAATGATGAGCTTATCAGTGATAGCAGCGTTGAATCTTCACTCTCACTGCAGCACAGACACACAAAAAACAAAAATCCTACACACACAAACACGTGGTGCACTCTCTCCCTCTCTCTCTTTCTGTCACACAAGGCAAACAGACAGGCTCAAATCACACACATGCTGGCTGTCTGCCACAGATAAAAACAGCAAAGATAATGAATGAGAGAAGAAGAAGGAGGAAGAGAACTGCTCCGATTTGACCGGATAAAACCGTTTAATGGCTTGCTTTGGAGTTGTCATTTATTTTCTGGGGCCTGATTACAAGGTGGAAGGCTGACTGGTCACTTTGCTCTGTTCTCTGTTTTTCTTTTGAATAAAATAAAAATGAAGAAATTGCACTGGGGGTTCATACATCTCACGTTCTCACTTTTAATATTCATTCAGATGAAAAAAAAGTCAGCAAATTGTGGCAAGAATGTCTTCACAACTGAAAGGTCATAAAAAAAAATTTTAGTTCACCAAAAAACACACACTGTCATCTAGTAGAGAACAATTTATTATTATTTAAGCAGAGGCACTAATTCAAAATCTTGCCAAGGCTTTTCTGTTATAATGCTGATAATACACACTTGTTGACAGTAAGTTTGCACTGAACATCTGTATAAACAAGATAAATGATGACATTTATGAGAAAAGCACTACTTACGTCCAATAAACGTGCCAAAATGTAATAAACACAATTACATATAAAAGGATTCTTCTGCAGGTGCTTTACCCATAAATAACTTTCTGCTGCGTTGGTGTATAGGTCATTTAGAAAAAAAGAAAAGGAAAGGAAATCATTCTTGCATAAACAGCTGTGGGCATTGCATCAGCCTACTTTCCTAAATATGGTTAGGTCCTTCTTGTGCCAACTCTGTTAAATAATAACAGACCACTCTTTATAACCACGGTTGCTTACACAGTACCAAAATCGAATTTCATTTCATTTCTTAGAGGTATTTACCGACGGGTAAGGTTTTACAATGAGGGGTACTCTGCTGCTGGTGATCCTGTTCAGTGTGTCTGGGACATGGGCTGAAGGAGAGAATGGAGGAGCTAACCAAGGTTTACAGACGAAGGATATGTGGGATGAGGTGAGGGCCCTGAGAGACATGGTGGTGGAGCTCAAGGTGGAGCTGAGGAATACCAAGGCTGAACTGCAAACCCAGAGAGACAAAGTGGCTCATCTAGAGAAGGAGAACACAGGTAGTGAATCGACAATGTGACGTTTAAGCTGGAAATGCAATGATTATTAGGAAAATTATGATAGTTTTCATTGTCAGGGGGGCAGAGGGGGGAGGTTGTATATATACATACATACATGCATGCATACATAC